ATAGAGCCCTCCGTCTAGACAGGCTTCAACAACGATTTATCTCGATATGGCAAGACCGTCGTGAGCGTGCCTTCGAGACTGCTTTGAACAAGAGCTCCAAGCACCGCAGTGATCGTCCCATCAGCATTGGCGACAGAGTCCTAGCTTTGGGCCGTCGCGAGCATAAATGGAGTCGTCGTTTCCGTGGTCCTTTTAAGGTGACTCGTATCATTGGTAAACGTATTGCTGTACTGGTACATGAAAGTACTAACGTTGTGGAGGAACACCATATTAAAAACTTGAAGCTCTTCCGAGAAGACGACGATATTCCGGACGAGGGTGTCCTCGATGTCGATGATGATAGTCGTATGGACGGATTGGTCTCCGATGACCCTGAGGACCTGATTCACGATAAGACCGTGCCCGACGATGATTCTCGAGTTGCTCAAGATGGGAGCAACAATTTTCCACCTCAGCCGAGGCCACAGAGAGCTGCTAAGGAACGTGCTTTGCAAGCTCTGCGAGCGCATGATTGGAATGGTGATGATGACGATACGTAATTTTTCGCTTATGGGTTTTGACCATCACTCGATCAGTGTACACGCTTTTATGGGGGGCGAGGCTGAGCGATGTATTCTCATTTTTTTCTAGTCTGTCCCTATGTTATTCCCATAGTAGTGAGACACGCTCCATCGTGACGTGACGTAGTTTCACGCAGGAGCGCTATGCACATGCGTGCTGCGCGCTGAAGCTCATTGCTCATTAGTCGATTAACTTTCGTCTTCTTCGTCCCGACTTCCCTATGCCTCCTGCGCGTCGTGTTCCCGGGAAGTCCTCTAACTCGAACTCTAGGTCACAGGGCTCTAACAGCGCCAACAGCTCATCAGGTTCAAGTTGAAGTCACGACCAATAGCGAAATATGAATTGACGAAACCCGAACTGAGCAAACCAGTTATGGTGATGGTAAAGCAGAGAATGTTACAGATTATTGACGCATGATCGTCTCCAACTATCTTTGTACTCCTCCGCCGGTTACCAAACAATACGACCACCCATATACCAACATTCAACCGCGCGGATCATACAAAGGGAGAAAATAACATGATAGACAAAGGTTACATCAAAATGAGGACCGTATAAACTCCTGGCAAGGACGATACAGAGAATCAATATAGCGATAATAGATAGTGTCTACAATTACACGAGAGTAGTAGCAGCAGTGAGCTGGTAGTAATACGTGATATATCCAGGATAAGTTGAAGAGAATTTCGTCTGTTGCGTACCAGTCTTAAACGTATGGTGTAGAATCATACAATATCATCGATCACGCCACCTAGGACCATGAGGGCTCTCGCTCCTTACCACGATCGTTGGGGAGAGGCTCGAACCGATCGCCGCCATGGTCCGAGTCCTAGCGTGAAATTGAGACTGAAACTAGACTCTATATTTCCCCTTCCTTCGGGAGGGTGGGAAGGGTTTACAAAGTTGCTTAGCTTACGATACGGTTGATAAGACCCCGTTCTGCACGTCAAGCTATATTTCTGTTGCGCTCGCCCACGGTGAGCGCAAGGTGATCTCATATCGTATCCCACTCGTCCTTCGGTCAAGTGATCATACAGTATCATCGATCACGCCACCTAGGACCATGAGGGCTCTCGCTCCTTACCACGATCGTTGGGG